ATATTCCACACAACGAAGAGCTGGCAACACGTATTTGTCTAGGTTATAGACCTGAAATCAGATGCGAAGTTCCTCAACTACTTTTGGATCTGATGAATAAATGCATAGACGCAGAATCTCGAAACAGACCAACTGCTGAAGAATTAGCTAATACGTTGAATCGTTTTTTTGGAGATTTAAAAGATAAAAAAACTGAATTATATGAGCAAGTTAGAAATCTTAAAGACTTGGACAAAAATTTCTTAACATATGATCAAGTCAAATCGGCACAATTCAAATACCAGACACATCCACAAGCTATTTATACAAGTCGGCTTTTGAAATATCAAAATCTCCCTAAACCAATAAATGCTAAGCCAGTAGTTGCAGGTAAGAATATTATCCAACAAAAATATTGAGTTTAAAGTATTCTTTTTTCATACTTATTAATGGTAAACTTGTTTAGTAAGCAACTCTGTTGAGCGCCCAAATTTTGATTAATGTTTTAATGATATATAGTTAGTATCTGATATATTTTATAATTATTAATTGATTTTTTCAATCTGCAATTGTTTTTTAAATAAAATAGATTATTGGGGCATGCTATTATTGCTATGTACGTACTATATATATTGATGTTTATGCAACATTTATATAAAAAACATGGTTTACCTGTACTGTACAATATAGCTGAGCGAAATAAATAAATATTTATAATTGGTTTAAATAGAAATTATCTTAATCTGGCGCATAAATGATAAACAAGCTAATTATTGGACAGTTTCAGTTTTTGGACACCATGTCCAAAACCAAAACTAAATTTAATTGGTTTTCACAATCATTATATATGCGTATATATCATGATTCGGAATTTCTAAGGTTAGAGTAGAGATTTTAAGTATAATATTCCATTCTAATCTAAGTAGATTTCCACTTACAACATATATAATCTATTCATAATTTTCGCTAGCCAGTTAAATATTTTCCAACAAAATTGTACTCGAATAGTGCTCAGGGTTAGTTTAAAATTTTTTCCTGAATCAAGTTAATTCAGGTCAAAACTTTGAACCACACCTCTGGGCGTTACTTCCAATACCCAAATCAACATTTTTCTATATACTGTACTATTTAATTTTTTTTTTTTTTATATATAATAAATATAAAAAACTTTATATTAATTATTATTTATATATATGAATATTATATATGACGGAAAGAGAAACCTGTAGTCCTAAAAATAAATTAATATAATTTTTACAGTAAACTGTTTTTAAGTTGCAGGTTTTCTCTTCCTGTTACTTATATGTATGTTACTAATTTCAAAATATTTTGGACAATTTTGGGCAATTTTGAACAGTTTTGGACGGTTTTTGAGCATGTTCAAAACTGTCCAATCAAAAAATTAAATTGGACATGTTCAATCCCATCATTGAATTATGGTATAAGCTATAATAGTTTCCATTGTATCTTTAAAATCGAATTGTTTGTTATATTATTTGTGCTCACAAAAGTAAAAACTGCACTATATTAAAAATTTTTTTTTTACTTTCTTTCTCATATTATTATATTGAGTTTTTCTTTGCCTATTTCAAGCACTTATCCAAGCAGTTTTTCTTTTAAAAAAAAACTTTTATATTTTATACAGCTTTTGCAGTTCTTGAGCATTTTGCTAGGCATTATATAATCAACTAGAACCATAAGTAAAAAGGAACATTTTTAAACAAGGTTAATTATTAATATTAATAAATACAGTATATTAAAATCACATTAAATTTAAACACAATGATATGGCTTTTTTTTCAGAAACAATATATTTATTTCAAAACTAACTATGTTATATTTAGGAATGTAATTTTTGACATTATATATTAGAACTAAATGAACTGCCAGTGAAGTGAGCGAACAGCTAATTACAGTGTGATTGAAATTCTCCTTATAAGGTCTGAACAAATATACCGTATAAAAAACATAACTGTTGCCCTCTTACTTCTAAACAGGTTATAACCTTCGGTAAAAGTTAACTGGGTATGAGCTAATCTAATGCGAATAACTCTCCTGTTTTACTATTGTCAGATGGAGGCTATTTTCTGAAGTAATGTTATTTCCAAAATAAGAATAAAACCACTGGAACCATAGTTAAATTTTTTTTAGATTTTTGTTTTTATAACCTGCATATGACCCGGCATATGCTGTTTTCATTAATTTTGGAACATCTGGTAAAAATTGTTTGGCCGATTATGTAATAATGAGCATATTTTGCTAATGACAGAAATAATATATATAGATATCACTATTTTTGCACTTCAGATTATACTATATTCAGTTGCTATTACTTCTGAGAAGTTGGATATTTCAAATTCAATAGCAATTATTTCAGATAAACTAGCATTTTTAAAATGTTTACTATAGACGAATAAGTTAATGGTTCCTCAATATTTTTCATCTGATTCATACTGATTTCTTTTTGGACTATACTGTATTTTAATAATTCATTATAATTTATATTACATAAATAAATGAAATACTTTTATAGATTTTTACTATAATTTGTTTATAATTTTCAATGCAGTTTCGACAAATATTAATAAAAATTTGGTTGTTTGGGATTATAACTTGAGTTATATTTTCTTTAGTCCGGTCAACAAATTCTTGTTCATATCGAACTTAAAAATTAATTTTGGATAGTTGACATTGTAGTATCGTTCAGAATACAATCGCTATATTACCAATCAGTCCAAATCAAAAGTTTATCAAAAACTTATCGAATCGGCCAAAATAATCAATCGGTCAATTTTTTACCAGATGTCCCAAGATTAATGAAAACAGTTGTAACAAAAAATAAAATTTTTAATTTTAATTTTGCTTTTATGACCCGGCCGGGTTACGAGAAACAGAAAAATTATTTTGCATGGCCTAATAATACAAGATATAAATATTTAAATAAACATTAATAGACAATAAATTATTAATTTTAAAAAAACTGAGATATCTTAATTGATTATATTAGAATACAGAGTTTTTTTTTGTAAAATAAACACAACCAAATAAATTTGTAAATAAATTTTCTAAGCTAAATATAATAAATAAAATTTTATAATATATTAATATAATGTAGCTATTTGAAAGCACAATTAATAATAAATAAATAACCAAATATGCAGATTACTTGGACCAGAAAATCACTAATGCAAAAAGAGCAAAACTATCTTTAGACTAATTGAATCTGTATAAACAAAAGAACCAGAAGCTTCTATAATACACTAAAATTTTATCATCTATATATTTTTTTAGACCATAATAACAATACTTATAAAAGAAACAAACTAGAATTAAACCTGGTTCTGGCCAAAGAATATTGGTTAGATCTTACTATATTTGTTAAGTTAGTAATATGTCTTTAAAAGCTTTTTACCTAAAGTATTAAGATTTACTCCTGAAAGAAAACATAGAGGCATGACGATCACATTCAATGTTGTGCTATTTGTGCTATTTCTAATTATAATATATATAAACTTAAATTAGGAAAGTATTAACCTATTAACTTTTAAAATCACTGTGTTAAAATAGTGCTGCTCACTTCACTGACAGTCATTCACCAAAAGTTCATTTAGTCGATATTACATAGGGGTTAAGGCTAGTGAAATGATTGTATGTGAAGGAGAATACATTAAAAAGTTCGTGATTAATAGAATGTACATTTCTATCGCTTCTATAAATAAAAAATATTATAAAATTTACTAACCTTATGCAGACATTGGGTTAGAATATTTTGATTGATTAATTGATTCTTGAATTATATCTACTTCATTAGTATATTCAGATAAAAGTTCTTGTTTAGCTAAATGAATTTCATTTTCATTTATGCCAACAATATTTGTTGTAATTGTACTATTGTGAATAGAAGTTTCTATTCAGTAGTTACACTAGTGATTTTGTTGGATGAAATGATGCATCTGCTTCTTTTCTAGGTGAGTTTCTTAAGGAAAAAAAAGATTCATTAGATATCACAAACATAATGCTGAATCATTTAATAAATTAATATTTACAAATTGTGTCTAAACCAGAGACATTAATATCAGTAATTAATTCTTTTAACAAATTCTACTATCTATCTTCCTGGTGAATTTATTGTTCTAGGGAATGATCACAATAAAAATTTCATGTGGGTTTAATGGAAGCTCATAATCATGACTTTATAGTTGTCCCATTCCCATAGGCCATGAACATTAAATTTGTCTATACGACGTCCATAGTTCTCCTTCAACAAATATGTAGAGCCTTGATGTAATCTGAGATAATTAGTTATGTGAGTCATTAGCTCATAAAATATTTGGTTAATGTCAAAATAAGTATTAATTTACATGGCTTCCATTTTGCTCGCGGGTGTATATTGCTTTATTCTCAGCAAAATTTTATTAATTCATCGACAGACTTAGACAATGTTAATGCTGGGAATGACCTTAGTTAGCCAGAAATTATAAGTGAAGTATCAATGATCGAAGTAACAGAGTTGCTCTCTGTTTGTGTTAAAAATGCAGATTATCCTGCCTTTATCTGTTATAGGGCTTGAAGTGAAGTTAAAGCCACAAAACCTCTTGAACTATCATTAATTGTCATACGAGGTTGCCATTAATGATCTTGGCCGATAACTAAAAAAAAAATTGTCTAAGCCAATTTTTCGACCTGATGGTCGATTTTTTTGAAATCAGCCAATCTAATAATTATTCAATTACTTGCTATCTAGTTGACTAAATTTTCGGTTAAGCCAAGCCGATAAAATTTATCCACCTGATCGGTCAAAAAATTTTGTCAGCTAATACTAAGGTTATTAGCTGCCATTCGGCATTTAATTTTTTTGGGTTCACAATGTGTAACTAATACGAATCGAGGGATTGATTCTCTACGGAACCCGGGTAGCATTTTTTGTTCTTTATACTTTCATCAGTCGTGTAACGATCTTCCAAATTTGGGACAAATCACAATATATAACGATAAGGGTTTATCATTATGAATCTATTTCACTCTTTCTTTTTTTTTGTTGCCCCTTTCAATAAGATGGATATTCGTATCTTACAATCATATCACCTACCACGACCGCTAGGTAAACCAATCACCAAATGTGTTGCAACACAAGACTGGTTGGCCGTTAAAGTGGTTCCACAACGAATTCACGTATTTTTTAAGGAAGCGCTTAGAGAAATCTGGCGTTTTCCAGCTGATCCGATTGAAATATCGCAGGATGGATTGTATTCAGAAACAACTAGTGGTTCAGCTGTTTCTTTTCTTGTTTTAACTGCTGATGGTTCTATCTGGCGTATACCCCTGGTTCAACGGCAAAAAAGGTTTTTTATAATTATACGTTTTGTAAGTTTATTCTCTATTTTTAAATTATGTTAATTGTTTTTCCGGTTTGATTTAGAAATTATGAAGCCGATAGTCAAGATCCAACTCCATTACGTCAGATCAGAAGAATTAGTGAAACAAATAATAATAAATCACTGCTACAAACTTCACAAGCTTCACAAGCTTCGATATTTGGTCCAGCACGTAATATTGCAACGACAACGGTTGCTGAATACAATTCACTTTTTTCTCCACCAACTTTGATAACTGTTACAGACGTTCATAAAATTTTGCAACAGGTATCTTTAAATAATTTGTTCTTCATGATTGGATTTTTGTATGATTTTTTATAATATTTTATATTTTAAAAATTAGGCTCGTATTTGTTCATTACGACCTTACAACCTTTTTAACCGTAATGGTATGCTAATTATATCCGAGGATGGTGAAATCGGGTTTCTTTCGTTAGTAAATCGAATTCCTTCAAACCAAGTCTTATTTCGACAAGATACACAAAATACTGAAAACGACCTTTCAGGTCCCAAGATCACATGCAATTTAATAAATATCCTTTACAAAAAATTTGGTTCATGCTATTTATGCTCGATAATATATTATAAAGTTTAGATATTTTTCTTGACACATCAAATAATTACTCAGCTCAAGTAATCATAAAGTTTATGGGAATTCAGTGAACGCGAATTCTTCCAATTTTGTGACGCAAATCTCTGATGATTTGATGATGGTGGCTTTTAATAGCTCACAAAAGTAATAGATGATAAAGGAAACATTGTTATATTTGATATTAAAAATTATATTGAAAATAAATATTTTCCTCCTTCATATTATTATAGGCTTAAGGAGGAAATATTGTTGACAGGATATTCGAATGGACTAGTATTGTTTCAACCTTTGATTACTGATGCTCCACCTCCTTGTGCAGTCACCTCGTTAAATGTTGGTTCTTGATTTTTAATAGATTTGATTTTAAAAGTTCTAAAATCATAATTTTCTAATGAAATTTAACAAATTTTAGGAATCCATTCAAGCTATATATACACTTTCAATAAAACGCAAAGTCACCAATGAATCGGAATTATCGATTTTAAGGCCACTCATTGAAGAAAAAGTTGATAATGCATTTCTCTTTGTTGGGTAAATATTTTTGCTTTAATAAAGTAAACAACATGTTCTAATGTTAATCTTATTCATACAGTTTTAAAGGCACTATTGCTTTAATGTGTATGGCACCATTGAAAAATGATTCTGATGTGAAATCTATTGCTTATAAAGAATACTATGTTCCTGCACCAGTACATTCATCTTTCGCATTTAAGGTAGGTTTATTTATCTCTCACTATTCATAAAGTATTTCAACTTATTCCTAATACAGTTAATCTTTTTATCTCTTAGAACCGTTTAATAGTTGCAGTTGAAGATGGAAATATTGTTGTTATAAACTTTGACAGAGATATGTTCTCAGAAGGTAGATTTTTTATACATATCTTTAGATTTTGAAATACTGAACTTGTGAAATTAATTTACTTTCTTTTTTAGGCAAACTTGTTTCATTACATACAATTCCTATATACTTGCCTAAAGGGATTATTGTATTATCTTACCATTGCATTGTTGGTCAAGATTCTAGCGATGGGGTTTTATATGCTTTATCTAGTGACGGTCGATTGATTCGTTCAAGTTTCAAAACTACAAGGTTTTTTATAATTTGATTATTATTTATCCAGATCTTTTAATTTTAATGTTGTATTGATTCGGCACTTATAATCTCGAAAAGAACCTTTATTCTTTTATATTAGTGAAGATAAGCCAACATATATGATGAGCAATGAAGAGTTAAGGGAAGAAATCAAGAAGCAACTCAACAATATTGCAGAGTTAACTGCCAAGCAAACTACTTTGGAGAAAACAAATCAAGTATGAATAATTAAAATAATATAAATTCATTTTCATTACTCATTGTTTAAACGCGTTTCTTTCGAATTCTAAAGCTGTTGAATTCCGCAATTGCTGCGCGAAATCTGGTGATTCCTGAACTTCAACGTTTTTATAAAAGACGTGATAAAGCAAAGGATAAAAATCCTCCCCTTGAAGTTGAATGTTATCCAATTACAATGACAACTTCACTCAACGGCAGTATAATCAATCGTACATTTTTAAAGGTGCGATTGACTAGTCGATTAGGGATAAATTGGACCCATATGTGGTCACGTATCTTTTTAAATACATAATCTCGAATTGTTATATTATTGATATCGAAATATTTCCTTAATTATATATGGATGTAGTCATGATTAATATGATGAATCATTATAATTCCTCAAAACCGACGGATTCGTCACCGGTTATGTCTTATTCCGTTTCCTTAGTAGATATGATAACAGTTTGGTAAGATTGCTAATGAACTTTTTGTTGATAAATATTTGATCCTCATTATCTTTTGATTTAGGGAACGGGATATTGAAATAAATTTACGATTTCTTCATTTTCCCATATTGATAAAGCTTGGTTTATGTTTTTCACCCCCGATGCCTATTGACTCTACAAACGCAGAGCATAAAAAATGTAAGAGATAATATTGTATTAGTTATTAGTTTGAAATTTCAAGAATAATATAATAGTTAAATTTATAAAATTGTTTATTATATAAATACAAGCAAAAGCCACACATTTTCCATTGGTCAATATTCAATATGATATTTTAGATTTTATAAAGCCATGCCCTGAAAACATTCTTCAACGGATGCAGCAAGAACGACATTTTTCTATCTATCCCCCGCTACCTAATTTTATTGTGCCTCTGGAAGGCGACTTTTTTGCAACTAAATTTGACTTTAAAAAGACTTTGGAAACTTTGATCAATGTTTCTGGTAGTGATAAAGAAAGAGAGGTATTTATTAGTAACATCTGAATGATAATTAATAATATTAATTATTAATATTAATATTATTTAATATTAATATTAATATTAGTTATTATTGTCGCATTATGTTTATATATATCGTTAACGTGTAATACATTCATCAAATATGTAAAAAGGAAAACCCAATTACCAATTTTATATCTTCACTAAACATAAACACGACAATTATCAAGTTTTTTTTAAGGATCAGCAGTAATGCTTCAACCTCTACAACTAATCAAAGTGAGATAAACAATGAGACTAGCATTGATGATGCATGGAAAAGATGTCTTTCGGTGCTTCTCGGAGAAAATATTGAAATGTGTGTAATAATCTGATTTTATAATAGATATGCAAAAATATTAACATGTTTTTATCATAAAATCAAAAGGTCAGATCTTAAAGAGATCATAAAGACTGCAGATCATGCAATTTTTATAACTCCCTTGGGTCTTGAACCTGTAATCTTGAATTTAAAAAAATGTACAGATAATGTTCTTTAACTCATTGTAGTATTCTTAATTGACTAAGACTATAATAGTTCAATAAGTCTGAACCTAAACTCATTCATCAGTGGATGGATGCGAAATATCCAACGTTATTCCACAAAATTCTATAGGTGTTGAACTAAAAATAACAGCCAATTCCCCTGAAACTTTGTTATTTGTTGAAGAAGCCTTACTGGGACGGCTTGATGATTTTTCTGTGATCGACACTATCAGCGCTGCCAGTTCTGCTAACATGATGGACATTGATGAGACTGGTAATTTAGTTTTTTTTTTAAAAAAAAAAGAAATTGTACTTTACAAAAATTAAACGCTTTTTTATCTTTAATAGCCCGAACTCTAATGTCTCAAACAATCAAAGAAAAATTGATTAACCTTAAAACTGATCGTGATTCATTAATAAGGCTACGTGAACAACATGAAAATGTTGAAAATGGGGTAGCTTGGGATAATTTTGTTGAGACCGCTAAGAAGATTGAGACCAGAATCATAGAAATCGTGAATTCTTTTAGAACAGAGATGAATAATATATGGTTAAATGGTGTTGTCGAATTATAGTATTAGTTATTGAATCGTCTATAGTTAGAATAAAACTACATTGAAAGGTTTCAGATGAAACATTTTTATTTACATATGTATAGACGCAACCAATTAAACATCGCTTAATACAGTAGTAATATAATTCTACATGACTATTTTCTGGAAAAGCTGAATATTGTTATTTTATCGCCAAACTCTCGCAAGCCATTCATGCAAACTTTAATTGAAAATAGAAGAGAACTATCTACTTAGATTATTTAATTAAAGTGTTACCTTCCTAAATGCAAAATAGCTAAAGCGTTAAAAAATCCATGGAATAAATCTTTTCCTCTTTGATGCGTAATCATCCCATTCTTTTTTAAAATGATTTTTTAGCATTCGTTCTTCGGTTCTTACTCTATTCCAAAAGATCCATGTTGCAAAAACATAACCAATTATTCGGATCCAATTATTATATAAAATGAAATTAATAATATAAGGAAAATATAAATGAACATATGGTTGAATTTGATCGATCATGTATATGTTGATAGGTAACGCTAGGAATATTCCTGTGTACTGTTGTATAAATAATAATGAGTAAAGGAATCATTATGAGAATCGAGCTCAAATTGAGGTAATGGTATTAATCACAATCGTTACTTCCAGACAGGTCATTGAATACCTTCAATATCTAATACTATATAATACTGTAATGTTGTATGTATATAAAATAACGTATTTTTTTGCATAATAGAACATTGCGTAGTATCTTGTAAACTTTTATCTTGTAAAGTATTAACATTAATGAATAAATTTGGCGATATATCATAAAAGTATCCAGAGACCTGCCCAAACCTCCTTAAATTGAACTCTCGCATCATTATTTAAACATAAATTTTTACCGACGGATGAATTAGCAATCGATAAGGTCCAGTAGTAACCAATTTATGATCTTTCTTTATCTCAATATTAAAAGTAAAAAATTCTTTCATAACCTTGAAGCACCATAATCTTAACATAACTCCCAGTATCAACATAAAACAAAGTATTATATATTTTAAGTTCCATTCAGATAATTTATGCGGCTTGAACAACTCTTCATAAAAGAAATTTAAATAAGAAGTTTCTCTTGAAGAAAACGAAGTTAGAATTGGTAAATTACCGATTTCTTGTTGATACATTAAAAAAATGTAAAATAAGGATAAACAAATATTTGCAAGTCGTGCAATATGTCGCCCAAGATGGATCAATAACAATCCACTAATTCCTTCAACTTTGTAGATCTGTGAAGGTTTTGACTTAATTGATTCTGGAGGAATAGTTATTAGATAAAATAGATAGGTCTGAAATAGAATCATGACTACTTTTGTAATCATCTTGTTATTTGTGAGATTTGTGAAATAAGGGTGGTGAGTGTGGTTTGAGAATGGACGAATTATATATTTATACTAATTGTATAATTACGTACTCAATTTTCCTTAAAAGGAAGGTAAATATTAGAAATATTAACGTTAATACGTAATTAAATTATACGTATCGCGTATATAAAATATAATAATATAACCTAGTTAAGTTTTTATTGGCGATGATGATTTTGTTGGTAATGCAGCTGTGGGTTACCGAACGATCAGAAGAGAACATAAATTACAGCAGTTATTTATTATGTAGTATACATATTAGCGGTTTTATTCAATGAGATTACTATTTCAGCTTATGAAATAAAATCAATGTTTAAATAATAAGAAAAAAAAAATTGCTGATGACAGAATTAATAAGTTTCTGATGCTTAATTCAGTAACTTGTTGATTTTGTCATTGGCAATTTTTTCAGTTGTCCCAGGATTTATGATATAATAGTTATAAGTCAATAAATCTGAAATGTGTCCCCGAAATATTAGATATATAAAAATAAAAAGACAAAAATTTATATGTTTAAACGATGTTAATATAGTTACTATATATATAAAATATATTAATGATTATTATACAGTCAGACCTCTCTAAATGCACGTCGTCGGGACCGGCTCTAGCACATGCATTTAGAGAGGTATTGCATTTAGGGAGGTAAAAATCTATAGATGTAATTTTTAGGGAGGGGGTCTGACTGTATATCGATATATGCGAAAATTTAAAAATCGATATCGATATATTATTGCATTTTATGTTTGACAAACTTTAACTTTAAAAACCAAACAGTGAAAATTAGCTAGGCCAGTTTGTTGACCGGTTTATGGACCAGCCCTGGATCACATAGTCCTCTGGTCTTTTAAGACCAAGATTAGGTATGCGCATAAAATATTCTGATATACAAACTATCTTTATAGTACCGAATTACAATCCCGAGGGTATTATAAAATATTTAATTACGTATACTAGGGTATATATGTACTATATTAGAAAGACTATACGTACTATTTAATTTAAGTCAGCGTTTTACTGTAAAAGTGAATTTGCCGTATAAATAACCCGATTATACGTAAAGTACTCGGATTTTTTCTAAAAAGGCTGTAAGAGTTAAGGATTGGTAGTCAATTAAACAGTATATAGTTAGATTAATTTTTTTAATTAACTGATTCCAATCTCTAATAGGGATAATTCTGTATTAATTATCAAAGCTACAGTATTAAAAATTTAATTCAAAGTAAGAATCTTAACTAAATTTCAAACTTATATAATATTTAGAAAACTCTTGTTACAATATTACAGAAAAATTCGGTTATCTCATATAAAACTTATAAATTAGTTCTCACAAGCACTTGTATGTAATTAATATACAAACTTTTTTTAGTAAAATTTGATCCGACGGGGTATAAAAACAAATGAACAAATGTTAATTTTATAGAGGTAAAAAAATTTAAATAAAAGCTAGTAGATTGGCGTTCACAAAAATTATAGATGAATTTAAATCGATCAGTGAATCAAATAAAGTTAGCAAATTAAAATAACCTAGATAATAATAGCAAATAAATGACAACATTCGTTAACAATTATACAGTAGTAATATCAATATTATCTCAATTACAAAATATAAAGTGGTTACTGTTGTCTCGAAATAACGAGCATGGACGTTATTTAGAAAATCGTGTCCCTCAAGAATAGGTTCCCTGTGCGTCCCAAATGACGCGCACCCATATTCGGTTTCAACAAATAATTAGATATAGCAGACAGGTTTTCGTCTCAAAATGACGTCACATGCGCGTATTCTAAATAACGCGCATGCGCGTCAGGTAGGGCAATTTTTGAGTTTGAATAGATTAATAGGTTTCTAGTAATCATAAAATGATATATAGTATGAATTTATTTAAAAACTTTAGAACCATAATATTTTTTTATTTATTTTGTTTTCTATAGGCAAATTACAAATAAAAAGGCGCGTATATATACTGTAGATTAAGGCACCTCCCTCAATTTAGTTGGCTAACGTTACAACCAGTTGACAAAAATGATTTATCTTTAATTATTTCAAAAAAAAAAAAACATTTAACTTTAGTTCCTAAGCTTGGCATCTATATTCGGCAGCATCTTTATAAAATAATAAATTAAAAAAATAATAATTTAAACAGCTAGATGATATCTTTGCATATTAATTTTGTTTTTTATCTGCTGTAAGAGTTTTTATTACGAAGAGCAGCAGATTAATTTTTTGGTATCAACAACATACTTAAGCAATCAAAACAGCTCTATGAAAAAGATTGGTGGTTACATCTCCAGGTTTTTTTAACCTAAGGTGGTAGCCACGAACAATTTAAATTAATTTATTTAAAAGAATATATATTTATTAACTTCTTACTATATTACAGTATTATAAATTATACAAATAAAATAAACTTAAGACAAGAAAAATACTGTAGTTTATATTTTTATAAAATTATTATTATTTTTTTTATTAAAATTATACTAAATTACAATGGTGACATTAACAATCAATCTCTTTCGTTCTTTTATGCAGTCAAAACGTTTAAGCGACAGTTTTAATTCCGAATTATGTAATATTGAAAGATTCAATATTTATATAACTTATTAATATTTTTGTAATTAAACAATTTCTATCGATAGAGGATCAAAAACAAAATAAATATCAAATTGCATAAGTTTCATTCAATCAATTCAAAATTTTTGAAAGTTTATAAAAAAAAAATAAATTATATGAAACAATTTATATGGATCTGAATCCACTCCAATTTAAACCCTCATCACTAAAATCCTGTCGCCACAAAATTTCTTCAACATAATTCTTATCACTTACATGACAATTGTCTTTACAACTATATACAAGTAACGAGCCCCAATCAAGTGAATCGTTTTGCATATGATCTACTTGGAGATAATTTAAAAGTGTGGATAATATCTTGATTGAAATTATGATAAGGTTAATATTTAAAGAGTTGAAAAATGATAAGAATATATATATATATGTTGTGCCTCAGACTAACGCTTGCCTCGGATTCACAGCTGACGCACCTCAGGTGTAGATTGTTAGATGAGGTGCGTAACTTATCGATCAGTCATTACTCACAGAAAAA